TTTGTTCTGTTGCCTACATAACTAAGGAACATTTTTGGCAGCAAAGAGATCCCAGTTCACATCTTTTCTTATTGAGACTGTATCCTCTTGTTACTTTCTTGAAGACTTTGGTGTCAAAACCACCTTAAGGACTCCCACCCCCACCCCTGACCCTACTGTGCAGTAATGTGTTATACAATTTGTACCACCTCATTTGTACCACACTGCCCACGGGCCATGTCATAAACCAGCCCTCAGAACTGATCCCTGTTAAAAATAACCTCCCCAAAATAGAAGCAAGAAGAAGTAAGGGTTACTGGGGTTATTTTTAACCTGCATGGGTTCAATAGTCTGACTGATGCTGGGGACCCAATGGAGGTTTTCTTGGCGCAAGTGAGGGTGGCACATCATGGTGCGGAGGAGAGGGAAGGGATGGCTGTGGGCAGAGAGGATGCTAAGCCAGCTTTGAGGCTGAAGCCAGCATGTGGTAAAGTTCAGCCTCAAGGACACCACTCAGAAACCATAATAAAACTATTCAGCAGCACTGGTAGTGGGAGATTCAAAATAATACAATGGAGCAGTGTAATAAAAATAAACTGGGACCAGAATACCTGCAGACAATTTCAGCAACACCCTAAAAATGATGGCATCTCTTCTAAACATGTATTTTCCTAGCTCTAGGGAGCCTTAGGCTGGAGTGATTCTGCAGTTATTTTGCATTTCATTAGTGCATATTCAGATTCCACTACTATTTGAATACCATCTTGCTGAAGTTGTTATAATATTTTCAAAAGACACAGAATCACAGAATGGTTTGGGTTGGAAAGGACCTTAAGATCATCTAGTTCCAACCCCCCTGCCATGAGCAGGGACACCTCGCACTAAACCACGTCACCCAAGGCTCTGTCCAACCTGGTCTTGAACATCTTCCTCAGCTGAGTCCAGATCGTTTAAAAATAGGCAGTTGTAAATACTGTTCTGCTATTTTGAATATTTCATTAAAACCGGAGAATTATAAAGGGACTGCAACCCAAAATAAATAGGTTTTACTTGGCAGCTTGCTTGAAATTGGTTGATCATGGAAAGAGAAATGTTCATAGACCGAGAGCATTTCCTTTCCTCTTCTAAAAGTGAAAGCAAAAAGAAAGGGATGAGGAAAAAAGACACTATTAGAGTTGGTAATAGGGATGGAGAAAATATCCTAACCCCTGTCTGGTATGCAGAACAGGAATAAAAATGTCACCTCTATAACCTAGCTAACCCAACATCACGCTATATTTGAAACAGATATACAGCTAGTCAGAATCATTAAAAATACTTATGAGATTGAGTTTTGACATTGAAACATACTCATACAATTGTGTTGAGCTAAACGTATCGAAGAACAACAGTGACAGAAATGCCATTTGGAAGTTTCAGCTACAAGCATCATTTGTTTTTATTTTCTATTTTAACTGATGGAATAGTTTCAAAAAAAGCCTGAAATTTTGATTCATGAGGTTTGTTCTTACACACCACATTGACCCTGTAAAGCACGTATTCATCTGGTCACGTGGAAAATTAAAGAGCAAAACTTACTCCTACAAAGTTCAGCTAGTGTGAGAAAATTAAAAAAGCAGTTCTAGCACAATTTCGGGCAAGCTCTCAAATTTACTGCTCAAGCAAACAAACTTACTTATTTCATTAGAGAGCCTCAATGATGAACATAGTTTATTTTATCATTTCTAAATCACTTATAAATTTCATCTTATTTAAAAATACTATTTGGCATGATATCATCATAAAAGAGAAGCCCAGCAGCAGTAATTACATGTATGCCTTCAGATCTGCACCTCTGTACCAATACATCAACACATAGATTACTACCTTATTTCTAAGGCTTTAAGTAATGCACATTCACAATCAGCTTGATTATTAAAATTAAATGCTTACACTATCTCAAATGAGTTCAGTTTGATTAACTTCAAGGTTTTCTTACTTCAACTTTCTTTTTCTTTGCTTCATGTCATCATACTGACCAGTGACAACTTAATCACAGGATAAAAAACTCAACTTCAATAAAGGAAACTATAATGGTCTTCCTCAAATGATAATCATTTGTAAAAATACGGTAGTGTAGTGTTTTAGAGAAGTACTGAAAACAGAACTCTATTTTTATTATGGAAAGCATGATCTCTGTTATTCTCAGTGTTCATCCAAACTAGAAGGGCTAGACTTTTTTGCAAGACAGCCTAAACTCTCTCTGTCTGTGCATCGCCTTCTGGAGAGCTCGCTGAATTAATGTTTAGGAAAAGATGAATGGGCATTTAAAGGGAAGCAAAATGGCCTTGTATTTTAAAAGAGTACAGCATGAAGTACTCACAGCCCTCAAAGAGTATCTCTTTGGTACATGCATGTTCTTTCTCCCTACCTTCATCAAATATTATACTGAGAAAGTATGTCTTCGTAACAGGTGAAATATGATTCCCCGTGAAGGAAATTGAAGAGGCAAGAAGTTCTGCAACTCAAACCAGAGAGCACTGAATAGGGCTAACATCACTAAAAATTCCCCTCCCTTCTTCTGCATTAATATGCTAGATAGGAAGAAGTTTAGCTGCCAGTTCATTAAATTCTCCCACCAGAGTACTGGAGAAGAAAGCAGATAATCAAGACTCTCCTAGGTAAAAAGCATAACCAGCATAAGACTATCCTTTCCACTTACAGAAAATTACTTCTTTTTTCTTCAGAGTACTTCCAATTAATCTGTAACAAAGTCAGAATTTTTCTTATAGTGGTACACAAGCACCATGTATTTCTAACATTATGCACTGAGAGTTGGCATCTAGGGACATTCTAGACCTTAACTTGATGTAAAATACACAATTAAAATGTAGATTCAGTTTTTCAGGTATCAAAGGACTATAATCTACATTCAGACAAACTCAGAAATCAGACACATAATAGCTTGCATAATCACCAAGGGCAAAGGGAGACACAATACTCCTTCAAAATTTGTGGCTAATGTATATTCAGTTTAAAACCACAACCTAACATTTACACACAAAGTAGTTCATCACGCCAATGAAGCTAGCCACTGGTCACAGTTATGCACACACCTAAACCTCTGTAGACTCAGGGCTTAAAAATTTAAGTCAATACCCGTTCTCGGAGAAGAAAAACTAGTTTTATTGGAGCACTGTTATTCCCGAAGTTGTGTGTCATTTAACACACCAAAGACTTTCATTGAACTTGAAACTACTTATGGACCTGGTAAATATATTTCTAGTGCTTTAGACATCAAGGGCTTGCTACCATTTGTGCTACCAGAGATAATGCATACAGATACTAATTTTTATGTAAAACCAGTTCATGTAACACTTACACACTTGACTGACTCACTCACCACTACACAATTAGCCCTTGCTGCTAATTATATTTTTAAAAAATCACTGTGTTTCAAATGAATGGAAGAAAAAAAAACCAACCCAAAACTCCGAGGCAGAAGAGACAAGGAAAATCAAGTACTTCAGTACGAGTTAGGTCACAGGAACTTGTTACAGTATTGTTACAGATCACAACCTGAACTATCACAAAACAATGGGCAGTAGGATAGCTGTGGGCACACAGCCAGTTCAAGAGCACACCGGGTGGAGTGAAGAGCCTTTTCTCTCAAATATTCTCCTAATACTATCTTCAAACCATGAACTTTTTGTCCCCCTAGGAGGAGAGATCATCCATTAAGTGACTATGAGTAACACTGACAAATGTCAAAACCAAAGAGGAGTCAAACATCACAAAAATCTCTTTAATTTATTTAAGATTCTTTAAGATAAAATTCTTGATGTTACATTTTATGTGCTAGAAAAGAATCATACACCCCTCTCTCCATCTACTATGCCTGCTGAACTTTGAAAATGACTGGATTTTAAGACTACAATGCCAGTATTTCGACTTACTTGCTAATAACACAGGACTGCTGCCTTGTACACAAAATATGTGGGTTTGGTTGGTTGTTCTTTTCTTCCATATAAAGGCTTACCAAGTAGAGAATTTCCCAGAAGTGGCAACAGTTGCAAAAGGTAACTATCATTGGTTTCACAGACTGTTTTGTTCAATAAATGTTTACAAATCAGAGTTACGAAAACCTTGCAAACTATCCCACTTCTTCCTACTATTTGTACTTGCACTTTCCAGCATCTGGGACTGACTACTGCTGGATACAAAATTCTGGTGTAAATGGATCACGATTTTGATACACCATCATAATTCTTACCTGCAGCCCTCTGGAACAATGCACAGAGAGAGAGAATACAAACTTTTAAAATACTCCTGTATTACTTCAAGTATAAGGTACTTCATGGTATAAAAATATCTTCTTGGTGTTCAAGAGTTCAGTGTTTGCAAGCTGTATTTTCACGGGGTTCTGCTACTAGCCTGGTTGAGGTACATTAGAAATTAATCACAGAGAGCGGGCACAAAGTTATACCATCAACCAAGTAATTACACTTTCTGCATTTACTCTGGGACTGCTGGCATTTTGAATGATTAACTAGGTCTGGGAGGGCTGGGGCAAGGACATAGCGTGTGGAGCCTTTGCAGAAAGCCTGGCTGACACAGGCCCCAGAGAACATGTCTGAATCAGCAAGAAACTCTTAGTATTCTTCCAAAACAGAGAAATACAGTATCACCAAATGCCAGCTAATCATCAACAGACTCTGTGTGTATCTTCGCTCCCTCTGGGCCAGGCAATTCCCAACAATATCCAAATTTAACTGCCAGCACTGTTCATCTTAACTCAGTAGCTGATTATTTCAGTAGAGCACAACAAAGTAGACAAGCATCTCTGTGTTCATAAAGGATCAGCTTGAATATTCTATATGAATTTTGCTATACACTTGACTTGATTAGCACTGACCAAAGACACCTACTGTGGTAATTCCCAGAGAGACCTCACTGGGTTTTGTAAATATTTACTAAAGTGCAGTGAAATATAACTATTTGCAAAAAAGCATGACTGCAGCCAATGTGAATTACTTACTTACCGGTGGGAAATCAAAGTCTATCTGGTTAGCTAAATTTAAGATGTAGTCGATTCGAAACTGGTTCTCTGGATGGGCTAGTTCAACTGGAGGTGCCAAACTGCCCATTGCTGTCACTATTGTCTGCAGAGAAACAGAAATTAAATATTGCAGAGAGTGTCTAAATAGCTACCTTTGTATAACTGAAAACAATAGCTTGTAAGCTTACCTCTATAGCTTCTTTAATATTGTTTTTAATATCCTGAATTTTCATTTTCTTCTCCCTGTAATAAAAAACCACATTATTAAATTTACAAGCCATAAAAGCAGAGTATCTTTTAGAAACAGAACATGAACTTGTATTCTAACAAAACTGTGTTGTCACTATTGACTAAAGTGCTTTCAGTCCCTGAATACTTTTGTAGATACACTTGATTAAATATCCCGTTACTTTTCTACTTAAACAGTAAACACCTATTTGTATTAAAAAAAACAGTATCTTATTATGCTTAAATAAAAATTTATTGTAGACTTAGACTGGGACTAAGACATTCTGCAAAATCAAACAGATTTTGATTAATTCGAATGCAAAATACTAGACATACATGAAAGTTATTTAGAAAAGCATAAACTGGGAACAAATTGGGGGGGGGGGAGTAAGTTACTAGAAGTAGAACCAAATGAAAGAAGACCAAAGAATCTCAAAGTACAAAAAAAAACCTACAGCACAAAAATGATGTCATATCAGATCACTCAACCTGACAGAGACATTCAAACGTGCACTTTAGATATGAAATCTAAAATAAATAATAAAGGGCTAATGCAAATAGGTAAAATTCCCTTTTAACAACTAGCAGAAGAGCAGGCTAGAAAACCACCTGGAATGCTCTGTATGAGCACTGTCATTTGGGATTAACTGCAGCCAAATTAAAAAGCTTCACAGGCTCAAGCAAGCCAGAGTGTAAACCATTGCCTCTACTGTGTATGCACTGTTTTATGTGTCAAATCTGACAACAGTTATTTTCAATGCTAAATAAAATTAAATGCATGATCAAACGTATGGTACGACCAGGAATTAGCATCCTAAAAGCATTACTAGCACTGAGACAGTAAGCTGTAACTTAACTGTAATGTACTATGACAAAATTTTTACATTATTAATTTCTTACTATACACAGCATAAAATTACTACTTTGAGGTAAACCCAAGTTAGCGATGTAATTACTAAAACCCCAGCTACATTGTCTAAGTGACCTTTTAATCTTATTAAACTGTTTTTTACAGAATGCTTTGTCTGAACATTTATACCAACTATTTTTAAATTTTTCATTCTGAAAGCTGACATTTTCCAGAACAGTATCCCAGCGACTTTAAACTCACAGCAGCATGTTTGCTTTTCTTACCCTTTCAAAGGTAATGCTCACTCTTTCAGCTTACAGACCACAGCATGAAAACCTCATTTTACTGAGTTAATTGAGTACTTACATTGCAAATGCTTTTTATCATTTTTTCCTTTTTATAATCATTCAGAACCAACAATCGAAACGAAACTGAAAGCATATTCACTCATCAAGAATGCAGAACAGCAGGGAAAAAAAACAACCAACAAACCAGTACTGCTTAAATAATAAGGCAGACACAGATGTCCAAGAGTGGTGAGAATTTTGATTATCAAATGATTAACGTAACTTTTGTAAAAGACAGGGTTAAGGAAAACACCGCTGTTCCAGCCGCATGTTACACTGCCTTTTAGGTACAGACATGGAGGATCTTCCTATACATTCTACAGTTGTGACAGCATGCTTGCAATGCAAGGCTGCTCTTAGAGATGGAAGGAAAGTAAGTAGCAGCATCAAATCATCTCGTTCAGTGACTTCGCTGTGTAGACAGAACGTGTCTGAATCAGCATCCAAACAGAAACATGATTATCCCTGAACATCAGCTTCTCCTTGTTCACCACTGCCTGTATTCTCAAAACTGTGGGGCTGGGTGAGGAAGGTCAGTGAAGCTTGATGCAGAAAGAAAATGAAATGCTCAGTAATCTGATGCAAATTCTTCATTTCCCTAGACTTCCTGATCTGCCTACAGACCACCTTATTCCTGAAGACTACCAGTTCTTTGCTTTAGGGATTTGGCACTGCTGATGGGAACAAGGCAGTGAGCCAAGAAAGACCAAAAGCACTGAACTAAGGAAAATAAGTAAGACAGGAAAAGAGAGAAAAAAACAAGGCCTTTTCACCCTCTTCCTTCCCATCTTCAATGCCTTCTACTGCCCCACATGTTAAGAAACCCTCCATTCCACAAACTAAGACTTACAGTGGGTGTACAAACACTGAGTATTTCAGTTAGTGCATATATGGTGGCAAAAACATCAGCCACCTTCTAGTTTTTAAAACTTACGTTCCTTTATTTAATAAAATGTAAGTAATGGCATCTTATCATGACAGTGTAAGCAATTTCTCTGGCTTGATTTTGCCTCTAATTTTCAGCTGGGTTTTGAACTTAATGAACACGTATCCAGATTCCACTCCATTGAGATCAAAATGGCAACTGATACGCTGAAGGTTTAAGCAAGATATCAGTGTTTTTAAAGGATTAAATAAAGAAATAATATTTGGTTGTTTTGGAACATCAATAGAAAGACAGAAGTTTAGAAAGCCTTCTGATCCCCCCCATGTATTTGTTTCTGTAAAGCAAACTCTAGTTATATTCTCTCCCCAGAACACTTGCAGGTACCTGTGTCAAAGCATCACCCAAGTGCATGTCTACCTGACCCTTCCATACCATATAAAAAGCCACATTATTTTTATTACAGGTTTCGGTCCAACTTTCACCTTTACACCTCTCCACTGATCCTCACGCATACGAGCAGCACTGCAGAATGCGGAGTGACGCAGAACTCCAGCAATTAACAAACTGTTTGATAACCATCATCATCTTTACAACAAGAATACTCATAGTTCCTATTTCTGGTTTTGTTGCCATGGCCCTATAGCATGCCCGGTAAACAAGGAATCTTATTACACAGCAATGAATGTTTTGTAATGTTTACTAAGCACAAATTTTCCGTGACAATGAGATACTTTATTCTTCTGGAACTCAACATGTTCATCCATCACCCATCCAACAGCTTACATACACTGTGGCTTCCCTTCAAAAGAAAAAACAGAAAGGCAAAGCCCATTTTATCCAGGGACTACGTGCAACAAACAACAGCTAAACCCCACCTCTGCCAGAATTCTTTTTGAGACATCCCAGCCAGGTTGCACCTCAAATTTCCAAAAGTAATCGAACTTCATTTTCCCCAACCACAAAGACTAAATACTGAACTTAAAAACAAATTCTTGCTTTTTCCTTTCCTATTCCCAGGTGCTGGCACAATGACCAAAACTACAAAAGGAAAAAGCTGTGCTCCCAAAATGTTTTCCTCTGGAACAGACAGAGTAGATTGGGAATGGCACCATGCTATCCTGGCTAATGAACAACTGTTGTCTCCGCAGGCCTGTTCTGTATCTTTAGATGCCATGGGTTAATAAGGTAATATTTTTAATCTTGTTTAAAACTTTTGCTTAGGCTGTGTAGGGTAGGCCAAACAAAGCATTAAACTCTATTAGTTGAGGATTAGAAGAAAAATCTCAAATCCTGCTGTTTTCAATATTTAAATGGGCCAAAGCAAAGCTGCACATAGCTTTCAGGAAAACTAATAAAAGTCTATTTTAGGCACTATAAAAAAAGATGACATTTTAACTCAAATAACATGAAATTAGAATGACATAGAAGGTCAGGAAAATCAAATATTCCTTGAAAACAAACCTCATCAGTATTTAGTAAAGAACTTCTCCACCTGTGACTGAGCTTCACTATTAAAATGGCAACATTTTTACTCAGACTTCATCAAATCCTATGCAATGAACACATCACCAAACAGATTATCAGAAAGCAAACTAATTTAATTTTAATGTTAATTTCTGTTTTACCTTCCAGATAATATAAATAACCATTACTTGGAACCTGGAATGAATATTTATATTTAAAGCTTGAAAAGAGCATTCCAGAGGACCAACGATTCAGCTCACCCAGTATACACCTCTCACAGGTAGAAAAAAAGTCCCTCAGTGCTGAAATGAACAGTCAACACAAACCAAAAATTCTTCAATTGAAGAACTGAAATAAAAATAACAACAAAAAAAAACCCCAACAACAAAATAATAAACAAAACCAAACCAAAAACCAAAACCATAAAAACCAAAAACACACAAAGAGAAAAAGAGAAAAATAAAACCTGTGACTGCTTTATGCCACCAATCTAAATGTCCGAAAGCAAAGTTTGAATTTCTTGGTCACTACCGACAGTTTAAGGAGCTGTATGCCTTGTTCCAAAGTTTTGTTGAACAGGCAGAGTTTGGACAAGATTGAAGAGAAAACTACAAAGAGCTACCTAGCTTTACATCAGAATGTAGTATATCACTACCTTTTTTCTCAGCAAAAAATAGGTTAAGATTTTATGAAGAGAAAAGAAGTGATACATTTCTTCGAACACTACAAACTAAAAATAAACTGAAACATGCAGAGTGAAAAGCAACAACAATAAAATTGATATTTTCCTTTAGAAGGAAAGATAGTCATGATAATATAGCACTATCATTTTAACATATATCCATTACCTAAGTTAGTGGGGAAACTCACCCCATATCTCCCCCAAATTCTCTGATTATACAGGAAACTGTATGCTTTGAATGTAGGAATATTTTAGGAACCAAACATCAGACGTGTCATGAAGAACACTGTGAAGAGGTGAATTTAATGCTGTGGGATGCATCATTTGAGTGAAAGTGAAAAGACTTTGATCAGATAATATGCAACAGAAAAAGGCTTTTAATGAGGGTAAATGATGATTGCCAATTAATCCCACTACGAACATGGCCTAAAAAAGGAACATACTCTGGAACATGAATACTTACAATGTGAATACAAAATACTGGAACATTCTTTGTATATTGCAGATATAAATGCTAGCTTTCAGTTTTGAAAAATGTAATTTTCTCAGTTTGTCTTTTAACACGTGATTTCTTATGTGCAGTCTTAGCATAATACATAATGCCACATAATGGTCTGCATAATACTTAATACACACATAATGTGTGCCTACATTATTTCACCACAAGTGAGCCTGTCTAGAATCCTGAGGGGTATGTAAACGCATGGGCAGAGTACACCTACTTAAATATTACTGGGTTTGTATTCTATTATAATCACCCCAAAACACGTTAAAATGTTTTTTATT